ATTCACCGTGAGACGTTTCACTATGACCATTTCCATAAAATGCTTGTCGATGCAACTGGTCTAAAATCATAGAGCTGATGGAAGGATTTCCATATTTTGGTAACAGAATTTTCATTTAATAAAAGCTGGAATAATTTTGTGACGAACATTGTAAGCTGAAACCTACAAGATTTGATCAGCCTGCCCCTTACACCATCTGGTCCAGGTGCCCCTTAAACCACCTAGTCTAGGTAAATCGTTTCATTTCTACATCATGGTCAATTCATAAAACACACACACACAGTGGGTACGGAAAGTATTCAGACCCCTTTAAATTTTTCACTCTTTGTTTCATTGCAGCCATTGTACAAAAAAATCAAAAAAGTTCATTTTATTTCTCAGTAATGTACACTCAGCACCCCATCTTGACAGAAAAAAACAGAAATGTAGAAATTTTTGCAAATTTATTAAAAAGAAAAACTGAAATATCACATGGTCATAAGTATTCAGACCCTTTGCTCAGTATTTAGTAGAAGCACCCTTTTGATCTAATACAGCCATGAGTCGTTTTGGGAAAGATGCAACAAGTTTTTCACATCTGGATTTGGGTATCCTCTGCCATTCCTCCTTGCAGATCCCTCCAGTTCTGTCAGGTTGGATGGTAAACGTTGGTGGATAGCCATTTTCAGGTCTCTCCAGAGATGCTCAATTGGGTTTAAGTCAGGGCTCTGGCTGGGCCATTCAAGAACAGCCACGGAGTTGTTGTGAAGCCACTCCTTCGTTATTTTAGCGGTGTGCTTAGGGTCATTGTCTTGTTGGAAGGTAAACCTTCGGCCCAGTCTGAGGTCCAGAGCACTCTGGAAAAGGTTTTCGTCCAAGATATCCCTGTACTTGGCCGCATTCATCTTTCCCTCGATTGCAACCAGTCGTCCTGTCCCTGCAGCTGAAAAACACCCCCACAGCATGATGCTGCCACCACCATGCTTCACTGTTGAGACTGTATTGGACAGGTGATGAGCAGTGCCTGGTTTTCTCCACACATACCGCTTAGAATTAAGGCCAAAAAGTTCTATCTTGGTCTCATCAGACCAGAGGATCTTATTTATCACCATCTTGGAGTCCTTCAGGTGTTTTTTAGCAAACTCCATGCGGGCTTTCATGTGTCTTGCACTGAGGAGAGGCTTCCGTCGGGCCACTCTGCCATAAAGCCCCGACTGGTGGATTGCTGCAGTGATGGTTGACTTACTACAACTTTCTCCCATCTCCCGACTGCATCTCTGGAGCTCAGCCACAGTGACCTTTGGGTTCTTCTTTACCTCTCTCACCAAGGCTCTTCTCCCCCGATAGCTCAGTTTGGCTGGACGGCCAGCTCTAGGAAGGGTTCTGGTCGTCCCAAACGTCTTCCATTTGAGGATTATGGAGGCCACTGTGCTCTTAGGAACCTTAAGTGCAGCAGAAATTTTTTTGTAACCTTGGCCAGATCTGTGCCTTGCCACAATTCTGTCTCAGAGCAATGAGAATCATGAGGTCAAAGGAACTGCCTGAAGAGCTCAGACATGCACTGTGAGCTGTAAGGTCTTATATAGACAGGTGTGTGGCTTTCCTAATCAAGTCCAATCAGTATAATCAAACACAGCTGGACTCAAATGAAGGTGTAGAACCATCTCAAGGATGATCAGAAGAAATAGACAGCACCTGAGTTAAATATGAGTGTCACGGCAAAGGGTCTGAATACTTATGACCATGTGATATTTCAGTTTTTCTTTTTTAATAATTTGCAAAAATTTCTACATTTGTTTTTTTCTGTCAAGATGGGGTGCTGAGTGTACATTACTGAGAAATAAAATTTTTGGAAAATGGCTGCAATGAAACAAAGAGTGAAAAATTTAAAGGGGTCTGAATACTTTCGTACCCACTGTATATAGTGTTTTTGTTAGCTTTGATCTTTCATGTTGCATATTCAATTATTTTCTTAAGCAGAATATAAAGGGTAGGCCAGGACATCTCTGCAAAGCGACAATATTTAATTTAAAATGGTATTTACACACACAGTTCACAAATACTGCACCTCCTGCAATTTGAAAATTGCAGTAGGCCATATTGTGATTTCGATAAAATTTCGATTTATGGTTCAGCCCTAATTCACATGAAGTGCATGCTTGTAAAGGACTTTGTGTTTCAAGACACGCAGCAAAAGTCCAGACAGATGGAGGGTAAGTATTTATGAGTAAGCCAATGAGGAGTTGAAATGTCAGTTCTTCAAAAGCACCATCAGTTTACCTTCCATACACTCGTTGACAGATTCATAATCAGCGTATGTCCTCCCCTCTGGCCTCTTGGTGGGCTGCACCAGCAGGATGGTGTGAGACTGAAAAACCAGACATGTTGTAAGACTGTGGTTTAAGAAATCATTTTAATGACTTCCTCACAAAATAATCCAGAATAGCCAAAAAAAAAAAAGATCTATTGCAAGTGTGATGAACACTTGTTGGCTCAGATGTGCAAACATGCTAGTTTTGCTCCATATTATATAAATATAAACTGAATATGTTGCGTTTTTTGGCTGCTTTGAGCTGTTAATCCAGAGATCCAACACATGGAAGATAGAAACATGTTCAGCTGAAGCGACAGCGCCGCCAGTTATTTGCAGCAGTTACGTTCAATAGCTCCTGGCATATATTAATTAAATATGCACAGTGCATTACTTGCTCATTTATGAATATATTGACATCAAACAGCAAACAGGGCAATTAAAGTGCTTTTTACTGTCACAGACAGTAACCTCATGTCACAGCCACACACACAGGCTAAAACATATCTTAGGTGTGTGTGAAAATTATTCACAAGAGTGAAAAAGACGCAACGCTCACTACATCTGTAGAGAAACACACAGAAAGAGACGCTGTGGATATTGTAAAGCAGGGACCTGGTAAAGAAACAGTGAACACAGCTGATGGTGACGATGTCATTCAGACATGGTCTCTATCAGTAATTAACAAGCAGCCTCATCTGCTGCTGTGAAAATGGAATCACGGGTGAAAAACCAAACGCGAGAGTAGGTGTGTGCTTGTGTGTCTGCGTGACTCCTGATGTTTAAACTTCACTAGCTTCTAAACTGTAAAACTTTGACATTAAAAACTTCAGGATGTGTTAAAGTACTAAATGATCTGTCATGTGACCATGACACATGGAACAATAAACACAACTCATTATGCAAAAAAAAAAAGAAAATGACCGCTTGAGTGAATTTACTTTCCGTGACTGAAAACAGCTTCTTTTGTATAACTCCGTGAAAGTGGGACGTATCCACCTGATCTGTCCTGGTCGGTACTGTGTGATACTGATACTCTGTATGTGCTGAGGTAGTTTGGCAGATCAGACTTGTATGGGCTCCGAGAAAATTGCTGCGTTTCGTTCGTCGCGGCTTTCCCCTATTAGGCGCTTTTTGTTGAAACATGTCCAAAATCGATGTGCTCAACTGACCAATCACAGCCTGGATGGGCCAATCACAGTAAACTTTCAAACGTTGAACTCCTCCTGCATGAATGGTTCTGATTATTGATGAGATTAGTAACATATTTAAGAGACCAATGTGGGCAATTTTTCTTGCATAAGGATTTAATGAACAAAAGAATGAAACTGCTGTTTTGTCCAACTGGAATTAATATTAGAGCCTACTAGTGGTGAGCTATGTAGTATAGTGTTACATAAAATGACAATGCATATAGTAAAATTTTTACTACTGTAATTATAATAATATAAATGCCCCCTGGTTCTGATTTACTAAAGTTAATGTAACGCTGCTACTCTTGTTTACATCAGGTGTGGGCTGTGTAGGTGCTGCTGGTGGATGGTTAATCCGTCCCTGGTTCAAAAACTACACAAGCACCAATCAGTAAAGTTTTTGGCAATGACTGATCAGTGTTTTCAAAACTTCTGTTTCAATATTTTAAAGGCCAATGCTGAGTGTCCAGATACCAGGGTCTTCACTTTCAGTCCTCCAGTGTTTACACACCATAGTTGAACACAAGGAGGAGGAGCACACACACGTAGTATAAATATTTATAAACAATAATAAATAGTTTGTTAAACTTTGCGTTGCACATGTGCTCATTAGGAAAAAGGTTTTTGCTTAGATTTTGTTTGTTTTTTACCACGGTATCGCATTAGTATCAAGAACTTTGGAATTTTACTGGTATCTATATCGACTACTACATTTTTGGTATCACCACATCCCTAATTGTCATGATATTTAAGTTAAGTAGCTAGCAATAGTGACAATTAGTCATTTTGTTTTAACATGTAGATACATTCGTGCTTTTAAGATAATAATCTGAAGCCATTAAAGAATATAACGTTAAATATGTAACGTAATTTTCTGCATATTTCTAAATTCAAGTTTTGTTTTATGATTTCAAGACTAAGCAAACAGACCTGAGTCTAGAGCTGAGTCTTAATGCGAGTTAGCCAACATTGACTTTTAGCGATAAGAAAGTAGCGTTAAATAATTAATACGTGTACCAATAGCTTCTGGTAAGCAGTACATTGGTGCTTCATTTGTCTTGAGTCAGTTTGGTTCATTACAGCTGCTCAACTGACAAACGTCCCCCACATTCATGCTAACGTTAGCAGGGAGCTTGCAGCCTTTTCAAACACCTGTTCTAATGAAATAAATACGTTAAATCCGGCGCATTACTTTGTGTCTCACATGAAAACATAAACATGTATACTATAAACATTATATCACAAAGTACTAACCATGTTTAACAGGGTTTCAGTCGGTGTCCGTGGATTTTCTTGGATCCTTGCTTCTGCTCGGACGAGTTGGCCTTTATCACCGGAAGAAGAACTCATCTTCTTCTTCTTCGTCGTCTGTATGAAGCCGGAAGAAGAATTCAGCGATGCGAGGGGTGTCGGTTCTTCTTGGTGGGTTTCTGTTAGGTGGGTTAACATTAGTCTGATGTTGGTTTAAACGCTAACATTGGGTCAACGAGATTACACGAGCAAGATTCTGATTTATTTAAACCAGCAATATTATAATATAGTGAAACAAACCTGATCTAATCTCAAACAACGTTTTGATCCTGAACGCTCCCTGAAGGTGTGCGAGCAGGAAGTAGCTCCAGCGGCCGGATGTTCTGTGAGAAGACAGGAACAACAAAGAGCAGAAAGTACCCCGGTTTTAAACCTACTTCAGAACACGTAAGAACACTAAAGCGGGGAAATTAACTGTTCACAGTAGGTAAGTTTAATTATTTTCAGCCCGCTATTCAGGAGCTACATTTTGTTTGTGCTGTGGAAGTTATGAAGCGTTAACGTTAGCCTCCCAGCGCGCCCGCTGCTCTGCCGTTATAACATTATTGGCTAACTAGCCATTTTAGCCCGTCGCTAATGATAAAATACCTCTATTTGTAATAAAGACAGTTAGATAATTAATGTTCGCGCCCACTACCTGTTAAGTAATTACCAAGTAACGATAGAAAAAAAATTAATTTAACCTTCAGCAGGAAAACGAATAATAAATGATATTTATTTTACCGTCGTTTAATGGGTAACGTGAACGTTACATTCATACTAATGAAGTGGTTAAAAATCTTATTTATGTCACTATTATGTCAAAGCATGACACCTAATGGTAAATTCAAGCACGTATTAAACGTTGTTAGCGTAGTTGCTTGGATATTATTTAAGGAGATGTTTAGATATTTTATTTGAAAAGGTTTCTTTTTAAATAAAAGCCTTTCTTTTATATATAAGTTAGCTGTTAATTATCATAGATAATTGTTGCTGGTCCCTGTAGTCGTTCCCCCTGTCCATAATGGCCGTCAAGGGGTCTCTTCCTCATGTAAGAGCTGGGAGAGAAGACCCACAGTCCTTGTTATGTACAAACATGCATTTTAAAGTTCAGCCAAAGCTAGTTTTAGTCATAAGCAGTGGGCGTCTCTCAAAGTTAAGTATTTTTTGTACAAAATTCCCTATTTGTGTTATCCCTCCACTGCAACTCAGCAAGGAAAGGTCTTGTGAAACATAAAGAGGGAGTTTCTTATTAAGGACCTTTGGGAGATACCCGCTTGAATCAAGACTGTCGAAACCTGATAATGTCAGCTTTGGTTGTTCTTTGAAATGCATTTTTGTTTTGCACAGAACAAGGAATTGAGTAACACAAGGAAGAGGTAACTTTGTGGCCAAGAGGAATGATTGCAGCAAACTGTAAACTCTTGTGTGAATGTGCATATGGGTATGCATGCAGGTATTCGTTTAAGATACTTTTTTTTTTTACAGACTTATGAAATATGAACCCATGTTTGACTGATGAACACAGATTAAACACTTTTTTTTTTGTCAATGTCATTTCTTGTAAGAACAACACATCTTTTACAATAGAAAAGTTCAAGAATAAGATGCTCTCTTGTTTTTTTTCTTAAATCACTGTCAAGTCAGTTTATAGGGGTTAAAAGTCTCTGCAAGATGATATGCTCTATCTTTACGACCTTGATTGATTCAATCTTTGTTCTCATTTTCTTTGCTACAAACTAAATATTGTCTCCTGTTTTCTTTCATCGGCACAAAAGAAATTGGTTTGCATGTGAGGACAAGTGTCGGCCGAGCCAACCATGGCGAACAATGCAGAGGATATAGAAAACAATATGGTCAGTATAAAAGAATGTGTCACAGTTGCTGTCACACTATATCTGTCTCTGTCCCTGTTTATGTATTGGATAATGATTACCTAACAGTTTTGGTTGTGTGTAACCCAATGTTTCAGTGTCAAGTGATGAAAGAGTCATCTGTTTCTATGGGTGACGCCACACAGTGTGGGGGAGTTTGAGACTGATAACTTTGGTTTCATTTGGCCTTTCATGCAGTGAAATGGTGATTGTGCATGTTTAGGTTCTGATAAGGAAAGAGGAAAGACTTTAAATCACTGAGGTAGAAACATTAGGTACGTTTCTTTCCTTTTTCCGTTTGGCTTTTACTGTAAATAAAGGTGTGGCCTCCTTCGCCCAGTCAAGAACTAAAAGTTCCGTTTCACTTATCACATCTGTAGCTTGACAAAAGTTTTGTTTACCCCAAACAATTGTGCATGTTGTACATCTCAAACATCACAGTTGTACATCACAAAAATGTGTCTTGGTCTTGTCATGCCTGTCTTAAACGGCTCAGTCAGCCCAGTTTGATGTCAGCTGGGTCCAGGTCAAATAGCTGAGTCAGGCCAGTATGGCCAGAAGAAGTTTTTTTTAACACATATTTTGGTATGCTACTACAGTACTACCCTACAAAGTAACTGGTTAATTTAACACACATTCAGTAGTCTGTATCTCTTTTGTCCTTGTTTCCTACATTGGCCCTATTCCCAGGACTAAAAAAACAATGTGATGTATCACAGAGTGAGATCATTTTGGAAAGCAGCTCATTTAAGAGCTGTGGGAGCTTTCACTGTTCAGAAAAGTCTCTAGAGATGCCTCCTGTCTTTATTTCTGTGTACCTGGTGAGATTGCTTCATGTCTGGGCTGCCGCATGTCTTGACTCGCCTGGCAGCCTGACACTTCTAGTTCACACAGTCTCCTTGATTTGTTTTTTTTTTTATTTTGTCCTGATGGGATAGATCTGCTGAACAAATACTTTGAAAAGCTAGAGCAGATAATAAATAAACAACACCAAAAGATCAGTCTACTGGAGGAACTACAACCTTTAGATCTGGAGAAAGTAATTTGGTTGGTTCTGTTGCTGGAAAACCCTGTTAATATGACCTCAGAATCATTATAGATATGACTGTTCATGTTTGCCTTTTGTGTCGTGATTTTACTGCATTTTACATTTATCTGTAGACATTAATATAAAAAATAGGCAACATGAGAAACCTCCTCCCTTCTGAGGTGCATTTTATTTGCACATTCCTGCACAGCTGTGCAGTCTGAAGAGGGGTGAGATGTTAGCTAACTTAGCGCTAACGGGCTTCACTTTTCCAGCAGGTGGGAAACAACAGACTTTTCTTGGTCTTGAGAAGCTAACACACTGTAACAGACACCGCACATTTACTGCCAGAATATTTTCCTCTGCTCGCGTTCACCGTCACTTTCTGCCGCTCGGACATTCAAACACTCGCTACTCACCTCCTGATTCAGAGTTATGCTGCTCTTATAACACCATCTGTCATGCATGTTTTGCATGGAACGAGGAGAGGAAGCAAGCCGAGCATTGAGTGTTGCCGTGCTCGCACAGTGTACGAGTGAAAACATTTGTGGTGCATGGTTTAATGAAATTTTAGTAGTGGCGGTCGTGATTCAGCAGAGGAAACACTGCTGTAGTGTTTGTCCAGTTTGTAGGCATTTTTGACAATAAAAATAAACAAAATACTCGAGCTAGTGTTTCATCTGATAATATGATGGTCTTGTTGACATATGTGTCGATCCAACTTTTACAGAAAATTTGGACTATTTATGTGGCAAAATTTTGGGTGTAGAATTTTCAAAATATCTGCTTTTTCAAGTTTGTGGCCTCTAAACATAGAATTCATAGACAAGATGTAGATGGGGTTTAAGGAACTAACTGGGAACCACAGTGTCTCTGTTTTAAGTCTGGGGCCCGGTTCACAAAAGCAGGTACAATTGTGGAAGCATCACGTTTCACAAATGATTGTTTGCTTGCTAAAGTGTGACTTTTGTTTTGAGTAGTAAAACTTGTCTAAACAAGAAAAATGTAATGTAAAAAATTCTGTCCATTGAGTATACTTAGATAATAAAGTGATTCTTCTTCTCTCATACCAAAAGGACCAACAGGAGACCAATGTTGCCACTGGACCCACCCAGCAGCCGCAGGACGCTGCGGTGGCCAGAGCACGGTCCAGAGGAGGTTCAGGAGCTGGAGGAGGAGGGGGTGATGGTGGAGGTGGTAATGGCAATGGTAGTGGACCGGAGCAGAACGGACAGCCCCCCGTCGCTCGGCCTCCACGTTTGGTGGAGACTGAGGAGGAAGAGGACGAAGAGTTGACCCTGAAATATGGGGCCAAGCACGTCATCATGCTGTTTGTTCCTGTGACCCTCTGCATGGTGGTCGTCGTTGCAACCATAAAGTCTGTCAGCTTCTACACGCAGAATGACGGGCAGAGACTGTGAGTGTCGTAACTGTTATCAGACAGATTGTGGTTGACAGGGGACTAAGATGGGATTTGTGCCAGAAGCTTATTAGGAAAAATGAAATGCAACACTGCCGCAGTGCCACTAGGTGGAGTTAATGCAATGTATATCATATGTACATAGTTTAAATACCTAACAGTACTCTAGAGTACTCGAATTGCATAAGATCAGAGAAGATCAGACTGCGGGCCTCCCCTCAGATGACAGACAACTGCGGGCCTCCCCCCACCACCACCACCACATGTTTATTTAGTTGGTTAGTTTTGTTCAATTCCTGGATGCCTATGGGACCTTAACTATATTATTTGATCCCATAGACACTCAACGTTTGAGCCAAAATATCCTAATATCGCCATTACATCTTCTGACTACACCAAATAATTTTAAAATAGGTCTGTCCTAAGGCATATTTATTAGTTTCTCTTACAACTACAACTACAACTACAACTCTTACACCTGTAGAATATTCTAAGTAATGTAATATTGTTTCACTTCCATTCAGTGCTATACAAATAAGTTATTATTATTATTCACTGAGCCTCCCCTGAAACCTGAAACTGTTTGAGCCCCCCTAGGGAGGCCCGCCTCACACTTTGAAAACTCCTGCATAAGATCATTAAAACAGTGTCTAAATCTGGCTCAGGGCAAATAAACATAACATTTTATATCTTTAGCTCTTATCCTGAGCAATTGAAACGCATTGAAATAGCAGTAAGTTTAGCTCACTAACATTTAGGGCAACAAGCTGTAATAAGAAGAAGACATGAAAGTCACTGTACATTAAAAACATGAAAAAATACAAGGTTATTTATTTTATTTATTAAATATTCTTTTCTTTGCTGTTTGACTGAGATGTGTCTTTGTAATGGTTCCTTGAAATGTCACCCCAAGGATCTACACGCCGTTCCCTGAAGACACAGACACAGTAGGGCAGAGAGCCCTCAACTCCATCCTGAACGCCACCATCATGAACACTGTGATCATCGTCATGACTTTGGTGCTGGTGCTGTTATACAAGAACCGCTGCTACAAGGTACATGCTAAAACTTGTCACATTGCATCACACATGCTGTAGTCAGACCTGAGATGAATAATATAATAGTATTTGTTAGTTTAAACTGGGTTTAATAGGCTTTGGATGGAGTTGTGGACTCACCTGGATTCACAGGGGGCATTTGACTTGCCAAACACAGATACACAGAAAGGTGTGCCAGTTCCAACTCCCTGTTCTTTCTGTGTGCTGTCACACTGTCATGGCTTACTAGGTCTCTTCATTGTAATAAAGCAATCGCTAAAGTTATTAGTCCCACCTGCACTTTTCCTGTCATGTAAACTGTCGGCTATAGGTGTGTAAGTAACAAATTAACAGATTAGTGTACTAATGGTAATTAGGCACAGTCTGTAAGTAGTGCTGGCAGTATGTTAGTTCAGGCAAAATGGGGGGGGGGGGCACACCTGTAGGGCCTTAATAATTAAACCCTGAACTTGGCAATGCCTTAGACAGGTGGGGCTGAGCATCATCAGGACAAAGCATTTTCACTTTGTCCAAACTCTTTGATGCTCATTCTATTGCCCTCTTTTGTAACCCCACCCCGCGAGGTTGTCCTGGTGGTTTAAAACAAACACTAGTTACACATATTTGCAAGTACTGATTTGTTGTACATAAAATCTCGTGATTCTGATCCTTGCTTCCACAGGTGATCCAAGGATGGCTCATCCTCTCCTCCCTGCTCCTGCTGTTCTTCTTCTCCTACATCTACCTCAAGTAAGCCACACCCCTCAACATTTTATCTCATTCTCCAAGATTCCCTTACATTGTCATGAATGTGAAGGTGTCAAATTCTTTGTGATGATGAATGGAGTCTTTCGAGGTATGTCTCATGTCTCTGCTCTGTCCAAACAGAGAGGTTTTCAAGACCTACAATGTGGCCATGGACTTCTTTACCCTGGCAATAATAATTTGGAACTTCGGAGTGGTCGGCATGATGTGTATTCATTGGAAAGGACCGCTGCGGCTCCAGCAGGCCTACCTCATCATGATCAGTGCCCTCATGGCCCTGGTTTTCATTAAGTACCTGCCAGAGTGGACCGCCTGGCTCATATTAGCCGTCATATCTGTCTACGGTAAATCCTCCTCTCTTTTTTGCTCTGAACTCTTTACCTTTACCCAACCTTTGAAGATGTTTGTGTACCAATTTCATTGTACGTGGAACAAAGAAGAAAGAGCGCATTTGGCACTGTTAATGGGATCATTATTCATTTTGGAGTGATCAAGCTTGTATACTGCCTCTCTACTCCACCAGAGGCAGAAACTGTTTTCACTAGAAGAAACTGTCTTTGTGTCTTGTTATCTCAGATCTGTTTTTGGTCTTTCACAGAGCCCTCTGTTTGGTGGCTAACATCACTTGTCTGGTCTCTGTCTTCTTTCCTCACACAGATCTGTTAGCGGTGCTCTGTCCCAAAGGGCCTCTGAGGATCCTGGTGGAGACGGCTCAGGAGAGGAACGAACCCATCTTCCCAGCTCTCATCTACTCTTGTAAGACAGATATAATTTATAGAGATACAGTACTGTGCAAAAGTTTTAGATGTGGGAAAATGATTTAAATTAAGAAGGCTTTCAAAAATAGACATGTTAATAGATTATATTTAATCTAAATCAAATCAATCTGTGCTTATAATCATAAATAAAAAATGTAGGTTAAAAAAAAAATCATTAACTGAAACGGAAACAGCTGTGAAGGAGGAATACAACTGGGTGCAGAACAGCCAAACTCGGCTAACGAGGTGAGGTTGCTGAAGACAGATTACTGTCTAAAGTCAAACACCGTGGTAAGACTGAGCACAGCAAGAAAGACACAAGGTAGTTACACTACATCTCTCCCAGGCAGACATTTCAAGACAGGCATGGGTGTCCAGGTGTGCTGTCCAAGCTCTTTTAAAGAAGCACAAAGAAATGGGCAAAGCTGAGGGCGTAGTTGCAGAAACTGGTAAAGACTTGCAGCCAAAAAGCCATTCCGATTCTGGACCGATGGGTGAAAATTTGAAATATTTGGCTGCAGCAGAAGGCAGTTCACAGAAGGGCTGTTGAGCGGGTACAAGAATTTCTGCAGACAACAGTGAAGCATGGCGGAGGTTCCTTGAAAGTTTGGGGCTGCATTTCTGCATACGGAGTTGGGGATTTGGTCATAATTAATAGTCTCCTCAATGCTGAGAAGTACAGGCAGATGCTTATTCATCGTGCAGTCCCATCAGAGAGGCATCTGATTGGCCCCAAATGTGTTCTGCTGCATGACAATGACCCCAAACATACAGTGAAAGTCATTAAGAACTATCTTCAGTGAAAGAAGTACAAGGAGTTCTGTAAGTGATGTATGGCCCCCACAAAGCCCTGATCGCAACATCATTGAGTCTGTTTGGGATTAGAAGAAGATAGAGAATCAACTGAGGCTGTGGGTAGTTCTCAAAGATGTTTGGCCCAACCCACCTGCCGAGTCCCTTCAAAAACTATGTACCTAGAAGCTGATGCTGTTTTGAAGGCAATAATGATTTGATTCAGATTTTTCTTCTATTCATTCACTTTGCATTTTGTTTATTGATAAATACCATCCAATAACGTGTTCATTTTGAAAGCACACTTGGCTTAGCACAGTACTGTACATTTATCAAATTCTATTCTAATAAAACAGAAGTAGAGCTCCAACTTCTTTCAGTGCTAAAAAGTACTTACACTTCAACTCCTAAGGGGTTAGACTCCTTGCAGTGCTCACAATTCAATTAAAATTTTAACTGTTTTCTGCACTTTCACTTCAACTGTCTTTTTTTAAAGCACTTTCACTTCAACTGACATACTTTTAAACTTCTTTAGAACTTCAGCTTAAGGTCTAAGTTGAACTTCATTGATACTGCCACACAAATACATGTGAAAAGCCAAGACAAGACGTTGTTAAATGTTTCACCTTCAAATTTTCAGGGGAATTGAGCAAAAATTTTCCTGCCTTTTTCTAGTTTTCCTTGGATTCAGCTTGTAACACAAATCTTTACACCTTAATATTTTGACTCTGACTTCTTCCCTAGCTACAATGGTGTGGCTCGTCAACATGGCCGACACTGACAGGCCAAAAAGGAACTCGACAGAAGCAGCATCACCTCAACAAGAGGCTCAAGAAGGTGAGCAGGGTGTCAAAGAGTTTGGTCATAGTGATTGAGCGCAGTTTAATCTGCTGCTGGACGGTTGGACAGTGTGCGTGCTGGTTTAGTCTGACTGATAACACTTGTCTGCAGCTGTGGCGTCCCCAGCTCCCTCCAGTCTGTCACAGGACGACGGAGGCTTCACCTCCTCCTGGGTCAACCAGCAGGAGCATCAGCTGGGGCCGATCCAGTCCACCGAGGAGACCAGACGGGAGATCCAGCAGATGCCCTCTGCTCGTCCTCCCGTTGAAGACGATGATGAGGAGAGTGAGTTTCTTTGCCTCAGGTTTCAAGTTATTACATATTCATAAGTGATCTCTAATTGATTTTAATTATCTGTGATCAATTGATCAGGCCTTCCTTTTAGCTAGATTACAGTCGATGACAGCAGATCCATAAAAGACATCGTGCCAACACTACATACTGTCCATTTTATGATTAATTAAATAGCTTGGCGCAGACCGAGCTCTGGAATTCAAACGAGTATTCCCAGATTGTGTGACTACTCTGTGTGTAATCATCATCTTTTTTAGCGCCCTCTTTTCTGGACACATAAAACATTTTGGGATGGTTTTTATGTGTTTCCTTTTCTGTGAAATTAGTGCATATGTGAATGCAACTACATGTTTGCCTGCAGACTGTTTTTAGTCAGAGCGGATTAGGAAGCGATTATTCATGGAAATTGCTGGGTTTCATTTCTGTACTATTTGGGAGCTCGTGCACTTTCTAACTTAAAGCTTTAGTAAATATGGGGTCAGAGTGTTCAGAACTCTTGTTTGTACAGTAATTACAGTTGAGAAAAGATTTCTTTGGGGGTTGGAGGGTGTGGGGCTAAAGAGAATACTGTATTTGAATTGACTCCACCCTGAATGTGGTGTCCTCCTGTGTCCTCAGGGGGCGTCAAGCTGGGGCTCGGAGACTTCATCTTCTACAGCATGCTTGTTGGAAAGGCCTCTGCCACAGCCAGTGGCGACTGGAACACCACGCTCGCCTGCTTCGTAGCCATCCTCATTGTGAGTGACCACAGCTGCTTATTTTAGTGTTGACCTCCTGTCACCGCAACCTCATCTCTGTCTCTGAGCACAATATCTAAACCCACTATATAATAATAATCCTTATTTGTAGAGCACTTTTCAAAAACAAGTTACAAAGTGCTTTAACAAGTGTAAAGAAATATATGTATATGTGAACCACTTGATTGTATAACAGGCAGATTTTCCCCCTTCAGAGCTGATTTTGTTTGGTACACAGTCTTTCAATGTGCCATTTCCTCTGTGTTTTATTTTTTGTGCTTCTGCTCCCTCAGGGCCTGTGTCTGACCCTACTCCTCCTCGCCATCTTCAAGAAAGCACTTCCCGCTCTGCCCATCTCCATTTTTTTTGGCCTGGTCTTCTACTTCGCCACAGACAACTTGGTACAGCCCTTCATGGACAAGCTGGCGCTACACCAGTTCTACATTTAGCAGGATGCTGCCCTCATAACCCTCACCCACATAGCCCTCCTTCCAACAACACAAGAGCGGTCCCTTCACAGCCGGGGAACAAAGGGTGATGCAGGGGCCCCTCCCGCTCCCACATCCCCTCCTAAGAACTCATCGTGACGAGACACAAGTTGTTTTTGCTCTGCATTTTTTCCAGCGCCAACGGAGGGTTATTCCTCATGACAGCTGTTCTCAAAGTATTTTATTTCTGTTTTTAAACCAAGAAGTGACATTTCTCGCTCGACTTGGGACCTTTTCTTCAGATTGGCGTTCACAGGTCTCAGGTTCAATCAAAGTTAGCGGGAATTTTTTTATTTTATTTATCCAGGGAAGCTTTACAAGAGGTCATCTGCTCCTTTTCAGTAGAGCCCTGTTTCACATTCATACCTGTACAACCCTGTACAACAACAGTCTTCTACAACTGGGGCTTTACAGAAGGTGCCTTGCTCAGGGACACCTTGGCGGTAGCTGTTGAGCGGAGGGAGAAACTTTCATCAAACATCTTCATTTTTATGGCTTCAGCTACCACCACCCCCAAAACTAAACCCACGATTAAAAAAGCCTTCATCA